AAAACCATTCTGAACTAGCAGGTTACAGAATTATTACATAGGTATTAAGTACCTACAGAGTAGTTTGCCAAGCCCTGTCCTAGCATTTATAGTCATGGGAATAAGTGTAGCAGCAATGGTCCTGGCTCCTCATCACAAACTCAATTTTCTCAAGGTCTACTACTCCACAAATATTATATCATCCCAAACATATCATTCATTTCCAGACAGAACATTCTGAAAACCCAACTCAGTCACTAATTTTAGTTCTACAAATCTAATAAAGATCATATTTTAACCCATCTCTTGGTTTATATCTGTCTTAGATTGTAAATGATAAAATAACTAACTTGTACTTCACATTTTAAGAACAAGAATTATAATTCAATGGTTTATGCAACTACAATTAACACAGATAATAATATAATATTCAATTTTATGTCCCCATTTAATGAAACTCTGAAATAAAAATTCATTACTTGATTTTATAAATACCTCTATTATGTATATAGCATTATCACTCCCAGGTTTGCTTCTTTCAGTATGTTGAAGGCCAACGGTCTCAATACTTGGGCAAGTGGCAAAACCTGGTATGGTCATGGTTAACTCTTTAAAAATACTTACCATCATGAAAGAATGTTGCAGAGTTCATTTAAAATTCTTTGGTAGATTAGCCTTAAGAAGATAACTAACAATTTAACCACAGATTAAGTCAAGGAATTCTGAATTCTGCATGAATTTGCTATTATTCAGTAGCAAAGCCAAGTCCTGAAGGGTGCCACTTCTGTGGTACCTAAGAAAACCTTCAACATGTTCGTTTCAGGTGTTTGTTTCAACATGCAGGCTAAGGCTCAGAAGTAATTCCTTGCATCTGCCTGATTTCATGGCAGAGACAGTTACAGAATTTTGACACTGTGCCTTTTAAATGACCATTTAAAATTACTGAACTTTGCAAAAATATTTTAAAAATGTAAATTCATGGTATAATTATACTGTTACCCAGAAAACCAACTAGTAATAAAATCCAGCTACAACCAATGATAAAAATGTTCAAAAGTGAAATCCTTAAGCAAGATTTTCATAGCAGAAAGGTATTAGGAAAAACTGATCTGTATTTATAAATATATTTTAAAATCCTGTTAACTTTAAAAATACAGAAGAACTTACATTTGTTCAAAATGTGAACATATACATTTGGGATATGATTTTATATAAATGATGACCCCTTGGAGAAATGACATTTGAGACAACCATGGACAGTAGTACTTAACCAAAGTCAAGTAAAACTTGGCCTCTTCACTTTTCTGAAGACGTCCATTACCTACGATTTTAACCAGTTACTGATTTATATTGTAATATCCTACTTAACTCCAAGAAAAAATTGTACTTGGTGCTTTGGAGAACATGCTATAGCTATAGCATCAAAAAGTTTTGAAAACCAGTATTTTAAATATGTTTTAAAATATACGAGTAAAAAGACATCTTATCCTTAATGAGAGAGAAACTGAAGAAAGGGCCTATGCTTCTGAAGGATAAATATTTTTTACTAGAATGAATAGTTTTAGAAATTTATAGCATAAACATCACTATCTTCATTGCAAACTTTTTTAAAATTTATGCTCCAATGCTGTTCAGCTCTTCTAATACACTTAAAATATATATTTATTTTTAATCTTCCAATTAAATCATTTAAGATATTCTAACAAATGCTTCCATTTATTGAGCACCTACAGGCACCCTGCTAAATATTTTAAATACATTAGATCTCATCCTCACAATGGCCCTGTAGATATAACTTCCTCTGCTGGGAAAAAGAGGGTAGAAGACAAATTCTTCTTTGTTTTCCTTTTATTTTTCTCTGCCTTAAAAAAAAAACAAAAAAACCCCCAAAAAACCCACTGTTCACCCTTGGCTACTTTTTTCACATTTATCATGTAAAACATCTATGACTGGATGATTACCCCCTCCCCACAAGGAACAAAAACTTAAGACTTCATGTTTTCAATTCTTGAAAATATAAAAGGCATTTAGAAAACATTAAAAGTAACAAAAATATTAAATAATTTCTAAATTGATTCAAGGATAGCTATATTGATATCACCATGTCCATTTTAATTGGTTCCCAATAATTCTTTGAGCCCCTAGCTAATTCTTATTGTTCATTTCTTACTTTTCTCTGACTTACTGAGGTTTTATTATAAATGCTGAGTTTTAAGGCTGTGTTTTACTGCTCTTTATCTCACCTCTGCTTCCCACTCCCTCCACCCATTGGACAATGTCTATGCAATGTAGGAAGTTCAGTCAATCTATGGAGAATCAAATTACTGATCTTAAAAATCTGACATTCATTAATAGGGGAGATAATATTTTATACAGACGTATATTGCAGAATCGGTTGATTCCTAAGAGTCCGGCTAATTCCTATAAACCAAATCATACCTTTATCCCTATGGGGGAGGGGGGGAAACACTGGTCCAGATTCACACTTGTGAATGCTATAAATTTTTTAAACTCATATATTTATACAGCAAAAGAACCCCTAAGAAATAACGGTAAAAATCATTTCAAAATTAAACAACTACCATATCATAAAACATGTTCTCTTTGATCTATTATCAAAGTGAGAAGACACACCCTTGGGATTGTCTGCCTTTTGAAAAATGGGAGTCTTGCATTTTCTCTATGCTAAATATAGTGAAACCCCTTGCCTATATGATCAGATATAGATTTCTGTATTTTCAAGCTTATCTCTTCACATACTTGTGTAATTTCTAATAAAGTTATGTAAGTTCTCAATGCAGAAAGGCCCACATATAATTGGATTAAGGGTGCTTAATAACGCAATTTTGCAATGTGGTTCACTCATCCATTTGTCCATTCGTTCATTTTTTCCACCCATTCTTCAAATATGCATTAAGTGCCAACTAAGCACCTGGCAATGTTGTAGATGCTGGGAATACAGTGATGAGCCAAACATAAAAAATCCCTGCCCTCAATGGAGCTTACATTCTAGTTCCTCAAAAGGGATCTGCAGCTAAAATATAAGTACTCAAAATCCAAGAGGAAAACTTTCTGAAAGGCTCCATCAGTCAGACACCTCAAAGGAGCAAAGGCTACAACAGTACTACATTTAACATTTGTAATGTGTCTTATTTTTATCAAAAATAAAAATCACATCATGTTAAGTTTATTAACTTCCTTGAATTTTAGTTTATATTTACTACTTCTATTTCCCTCAATTTACACTTTCTGTTTCTGATAAATTCTACCAGTTCCTTGAAGAGAGTAAAAGCAAAACAATCCTTTCAATTTCCAACCTAACTGATGATCAATAGGTATTAATCAAGTGATGGTCTTTATAACAGCAATTTCTTATTAGAAAGGAATTGGCTTCACCATTACAGGACTGTTTGCCACTGCTGCCTCTGTAGGACTTAACCACTGACTGGAGTTTGACTGGGGATGCCAGTATTTGTAGTAATCTTAGGTATCTTAACTTCTTTCTTTTGTTACTGTACCATTAACTGAACATATGCTTCTTAGTCAGCATGAACATGTGCTAAAGCTATCATTAGAAGCTTACAGCTCATCTTTACCTGGCATTGCTGCCAGTGCACTTACTGCTAATGCGCTCTGGACCCTTCGTCCACTGAGCTCTCAATTGCTCCTCTGCCCTTGCTTTCTCTGACCAAATGCTTGAATTATTCTAAGTGGAATATGGCCAGGCCACCTGTTGTCAAGCTCAGTGGTCCTTCATCTTTTCTTGGGCTTCTCCTTCTTTATGTTACAGCCAAGAATAATGTTTCCCACTTTCAACTGCAGAACTTTTCCACCCTCCTTCACTTTCTAACAGGACACTGTGGGAAATTGGGAAATTTTTAAGTATGCCACAGAGTGATAAAGGAGACAAAGCCAGAAATCCGGATACCAACTTTGCTCTGCACAGAAGGATACAGAAAGATCCAAGCGTATTAAAGGAAATACCACTCTGTGTATGGTTTCTGTATTTTCATTTCTATATTTATTCAACAAATATTTATTGAGTGCTTACTAGGTTCCAAGGACTGTTATACAGTTGTTTTCTTTTAATGGGAATACACCAACACTGCTCCAACGCAGGAGTGGTAAATTTCTAATCTACAGGTCATGTTCAGTCGTTAGCTTAATTTTTTCTAGCCCAGAGAGAATGATCAAGAAATGGAATCACAGCAGGCCTTTAGAAGTCTTCCGAAGCAAGAAGACAGACTAAATCTATGACGAGAGAAGGCCTGTATCTTTCTCCTTTATTGCTGTGTATACCTGTCTCTACCTCTTTACTCTAGTTTTCTCTTCATTCTGCCTCATTTCTTTAATTGGCCATTATAGGGCAATGGGATATATAGATTATCTCCTGTATTTACTAAATACATTCTCATTTTTAATTTAAAAGGCAGATCAAATTAACACTTCATATTTTTATCCTAAAACAAAAAGCCTTTTTGTTGCTTTTGTTGGGGAGAACAGGTCTACTACAGTCCTTGAAATTTCTTTCACAGTCTCCACTCATTAATTCAGTAAACTGAAATTCCATCTCGACAAGCATAAATATTGCATTAAAAAATAAAACAATAATAAACACTGTACTTCAAGAATCTACACAAAAAAGGAATACAATCAAAGTTTATAAGGCATAAGTGTAAAAGGTAAATAAATATTTCATGGAGAAAGTAAATAAAAATCTATCCAGATAATTATTTTGACAAAAAAAATGGAATAGAAATAAATGCATTCAAAGGAAGTTATCATTTTATCATTTTTTATACACTGAAAATAAGGATTCTCCACTCCTAAGAACCATTTTCATGCAGATTTTATCACAAAATTATTTTATATTTTCCATTTTACAATTTCTCTCTTTAATAGTTGCTATAAACTGTAAATTATTCAACACTTAATTTCCCAGGATTAAATATCTTCCTAAAAACTCTATAAATCCCCATTACATAAGAACGTCACAGTATCTTTTCTTTACCACACAAAAAAATAATTATAACTTATTCTTTATTTGGCATCTTTCTACAGAAATTATCAGGATTTAGCCTTACCAGGAAATTATACACATTATGAATACAAGTTTTAATAGACTACTGATCGGACTATTATGTTGCAAGTATTTCTAGAACATGATATCACAAATTAAGTCATTAATTCCAAAACAATAGTTTATTAACAAAAAAGTACAAAGAAGTACAAATGGACATCCTATTTCCCCCCCATTATGGTCCATCTATCTATCTCCCTTTCAGTCCATGGCACAGCCTTCTTGAGCTAAAAGAACAGGTAAAATACTTCTCTTTCCAATGGTCCTAATAACCATCCAAAACCAAATCATTATGTATTTAAGTTATACAGTCCATGTCAATTTTTTAAAAAATGTTTTATCTATATGAGTTGCCATAAAAGCCTCTTCCCTTGCAATACACCATGTACCTAAACTGAATGAAACATATCAGTATCAACATCCATAAATCATGCTTACACATAGGGAATATCAGATCATTAGTACGTTTGCCTTGAAGTAACAGATCACAAATGAAAGCTTAGAAGTGTCAAAAAGGATTTTCATAGATATTTACTAAACACTTCAAGTCAAAAACATCCTGTTAACTGAACTAAACTGAGGTACATGGAAAACGTTTAGTTTAGTTGTGTTTTTTGCACTGATTTTTAAATCAAAGCTACTCACATATCTAATCTCTCTACTATTATTTCAATTTTCTCCAATAATGGTTCCTTTTCAATTTATTTCAATAAACCTACAGTTTTCCCCATACTTCTCTCTCTCTCTCTCTCTACAAGCCCAAAGTACTTCTCTGAATCATGGTAAATTACCAATACTTTTTGGTTTTCCTCAGAGGGCTATAGATAGGAGATATAATAAATCACCATGTTTCAATAAATAATGCCAATTTGCTCTTTCTGCTATAATTCATCGAGACAGAACACGTGGATTAATTTACTGATGTTCCTAAAAGCCATGTGTAAAATTTATTAGATGATGTATTTTTTTGAGTGGTAAGCTCCAGCCTTTTGGTTTGTGGAGGCAGCCAGGTCAGAGCTTAACACTCTACTTTAGTCCCTGCTTAGAACTATTCTATAAAGAACATGAGTTCAGTGTTAGACTAGGCTGTAGTAACATAAGGTGCTAGACCAGTGATACATTTTTTGGGAACTGGAAAATTCAGATGACCACTCACTAAACATAAAATCATTATTCCACAAAGATTTTATTCACATCAAACTTGCACAGTAGCAAAAAAAAAAAAAAAAAAAATCAAAACATAACTAAGCCACATATCAAAGAACAATATACAATAAAGATTTGAATTTCTCAATGGCATTGGAAAGTTTTTCCATAAATAACATTTACAATTCTAGTGTTAGATCTTTCAAGGTGTCTGAAGCTTCACAGTGCTAGAATTGATTTTATCAGAACACATGCAAAAATGTGCAACATAATAATTCATATTAATGACAGAAAAAAGCACGCCAGTTATTTGTCATTCCAGCACGGCCATGCCACTCTATGTTCTAAAAACAAACAACCCCCAAATCCGGGTCCCATTCATTCTTCAATTATGCCTTTAGTCATTCTGCTTTATTATATTCAAACAGTCACTGTTAGTGCTCTTCACCACGACTTTCAGGTTGACGTCACTCCCTGCCTGCTGGCTGTCAGGACTGGGGGACGCCCCTCTCCCAGACTCACCTTCTTCCGGATGTCTTCATCATTTGCTCCTAGAGAGGCATAGAGCTTGAACGCAGCCTGACGGAGTTCATGAGCGTGTTTTAAGTCATGATCAAGCTATGGAAGGGAAAAAAAGGTATACTGCAACTCAGTCCACAAATCTAATTTTCAATAAAACTGACAACTCTTAAGATATTAATGCTCTCATTGAATTCTTAGTTATTTCTGGGTTCTGTTCACATACGACTGAGACCTTGCTGTGTTTGCGTCAGCATGACCTAGAATGCGTGCAGTCTGCTTCTGTCTAAAAGTGAACACCATAACATCTGACACTGGTACATGAAAAGTCTTTGTGAACCTCTGACCCTTAAAAATGCAGTGTTCCCAGATGGTAGCTTTAGTGGCACTGATGCTTGCTTGCACCAGCTCTTTGAAATGCTCTCCTCAAAAACTAGGCACTCAGGCCTTTCTAGCCCCCAGACTACAGCTGATACAGTGCTGCTGCAACAGGGTCTCTAGGAGGTTTTCTTAAACACCAACAGCAGTGCTAGCCCAATTTCAGCATTTAACAAGATTTTAGAAAGAGTTAAACCTTTGTGAAAATCTTAATGAACAATATACCATGGTAGTCATTACTATGTCATCTATTATAATGATCTGAGATTTATGTTTAAAGTTATTTACTGGTATGAAACAATTAATGCTATCTTTCCACATGCATAACTGGCTAGGTTTTCAGTTCTTCTGTACACCTGATGATTTATCACTAAACTACCACAAAAATGAAACAGAAGGATGTTCTCATGACACTTTCAATGACTAAATACAAATCAGTAAATACATAAGGCATATCAATAATGTAAATAATTTTATAACTAATTCATCCAAATGACTGCCATTCCAAATGAGTTGCCTTGGAAAGGTTTGCCTTTATGCAATGATAAAAGTATTGTTTATAACATTCTGAGACCCTCTTCTGAAACTTCCTAAAGAGCTAAGTGGCATATTAGTTAGAAAACCCTAAATTCATCAACTAAGAGTTTTATTAATTGTCACAGACTGTGGTATGTGAAGATGGGGAAATAAACCTAGCTAACATTATTTAGGGTAACAAATAACAACAACAGGGGCACCTGGGTGGCTCAGTTGTTAAGCGTCTGTCTTCGGCTCAATTCGTGATCTCGTGTCTGGCTCCCTGTTCAGTGGGGAGTCTGCTTCTCCCCCTCCCTCTGCCCTTCCCCCCACTCGTGCTCTCTCTCCCTCTCAAATAAAGTATTTAAAAACAAACAAACAAAAAAAGCCAAATAACAAGAACAGTAGTTCCAAAAATATTTTGATCAAAGCAGGCACTGATGGATTATGGGAGGAACTCCCCAATATACAACACTCATTTTGATGTATAAGTTCTAAAATATCTATTCTTAAAGTCTTAAGTACTTTCTAGTCATAACATATAGTAGAATATGGACTTGGATTAACATATGCCATGAAAATCACACACTTGTTAACATGTAAGACTTTCTCACTATGGGTCTAGTATCTATATTTTTATGGTCAGAAACCACTGTATAATCCATCATCAAAAATAAAGATGACAAACATATTCAGGTTTGGTATATAAGATCATTTAAAAAATTATTATTATTCTAGTTTTACTGTGATGGAAATAAAATGAAAAAACCCTAACAGAAAGATAATCTTCTATATACTAGTTAAATGATTTACACAGATACAGGCTACAAGTTCTTACAACTATGTTTCCTCACCTCCTGTCCATCCAAGTGTCCCATTTGCCTTGCTAGGACGGTCAACTGAGGGTGTTCATGAGGCCATTGTTAGGACTTGCTCATGTATTTTTCTACCAGTGAGATACTATGTGCAAGTGGCCAGCGGGAAAACAGACAAGGTAGCTGGTTCAAAGTAACCCATCACCTGTACTGGAAGAACAATACTACTGAAGGCAGAGCAGGCACTATAATTCATAGAGGGCAGTGTACATTATTAATACCAGTAACAGTGAAGGTTACTTTGGGCCTTTTCTAAAAGAAAAAGATAAACCCTTGAGAGTTCGTTTTTTCAGTGTTAAATGCCAAGTGAACAGTTGCCTGCCAAATGAAGTTTTGGGGAACTCAGGGGGCATGGGAGAGGTCAAGAGAAAAGTTAAAAAAAAAAAAATTACCATTGGGAACACTGGAATCAAAAATACAGTCACATTCATGAAACAGTACTGGTTACTAATTAGGAGGCAATGCTCTCTCTACCATGACCTCCTTTTTTTTTTTTTTTTAAGATTTTATTTATTTATTTGACAGAGAGAGACACAGCGAGAGAGGGAACACAAGCAGGGGGAGTGGGAGAGGGAGAAGCAGGCTTCCCGCGGAGCAGGGAGCCCGATGTGGGGCTCGATCCCAGAACCCTGGGATCATGACCCGAGCCGAAGGCAGACGCTTAACGACTGAGCCACCCAGGCGCCTCTCTACCATGACCTCCTTAAATAAACTTTCTCTAATTGAATATTGTTTTCTTATGCTTAGAGAAATGGATATGACAAATAGGCTGAGAAGAACAAAGTCAAAAGAAATATCTAACTATTCTAAGGAACTTACAGTTTGAGAAAAAGTTTGAGGAAAGCACAGTTTGGTTCTTGGTGGTCTCAAGCTAGAGGTTAAATAGTGCTTTAGCTGACACTAGCAGGCCCAAAGCACAGTATAAAACTGAAGCAAGGTAAGAGAAGAAGATAACAAAAGTTAGAAAAGATAGCAAAAGAGAAAGACAGTGGTGGAGAGTCAAATAAGGCCATTCACATCACCTGTCACAGAAGATTACCTTTGACCTAAAGAACGAGAATACAGCAAGAGAGATGATTCTGGGAACCTCAACAGGATAAGATAATGTTGATATAAATACCCAGCTTAGAGACCCCACTATTTTTGGGTTTTAGTTGGGAATTAGGGATGTAATTTTCTTCCTTCCTGATTACCTGCTTAGCGAAAAATTTCTGATAATTACATGAGACAAACTGGATTCAAAAACCCATAAAACATCATCTATGTTATCAAAGGGAAAAGATTCCTTCATTTAAAAGGGCTTTGAACTGTAATTATTAATTGGTTCAAAGTTGTGAGCAGTAAGAAAAACTTCTTAAAAATCCCTTACTTGAGCTGCTGAAAAGAAAAACAGAACATACCCTTTTAATATCAGTGATGGCACTCACTGAGCTGGGATACTTGAAATAATCAGCAAGCATGGCAATGAGGTGATCAGTTATGCTAGCGATTCTCTGTAGCTCAACATCTGGTTCAATCAGGTAGGCGAGTGTCTCAGCTCCTTCAACTCTCTCCTCTAGTAATCTCTCCTTACTGCACATTCGAACCAAACAAGGCAGTGTCTGGAAGGTAGTGAAATTAATTATTTGCTTTGTGGTAAAGGCAAAAGCTTGATGGAGAGCATATAGTGACTAAATCAACTCCATGGTTTTTATTGGCAGTCAAGTTAGCGATCAAATGTTTCAGAGAATGAAAGGTTGTTTGGAATGTAAAAACAAAGTTCAGTGTATATTAATCATTTGTGCTGGCACAGTAAACCCTAATCATACAATCAAAGCATATTAATACAAACTCTAATCAGGCTTTTGGAATGGATAAAATTGAAACTTTATTATACAACCTTATAAAAGACATTTAAGAATCCCTAATAAATCGTGTCTGAGGTTTCTGTCCCATCTATGTATTTATTTATTTAAAAGACATCCAGCAAAGTGGCCGGTTAGCTCAGGTGGTTAGAGCATGGTGCTGATAAAAGACATCCAGCAGTTTAATCAGGAACAACTGTGCTGTAGGAAAAGTATGCTATCTTTTCTTTAGTGAATAATGTATGACTGGGATGACTTTTATTTTTGGGGTGCGATCAATACCTACAAAACCAAAATACAGCTTTAAAAATTCAGTGATCTTACCAGTACTCAGATTCCATGAGTTTTCCTATAATGTGAGTGAAATGCATCAATCATAGTTCCTAGGTTTTCTAAATCACTCCCTAGAATGACTATACCTGCTAGTTCAATTTTACTTCTGAGGTCCTTCAAAAATCTTGGTGCTGGTCTTGGTAATTTATCTACATTAGGTCCTCAACAAAAATATTCCATGTATTTACTATTTCTAAGGCTGATGAACCCACTTTAAACAATACCACAAAAATGGAAACTGAAATGTTATAATTATAGGAAGCCTTCCTCAATTACTGTAATCAACTGTGCTTTGCTCTTTTCTAAGTTCCTAATATATCTTTATCATAGAGTTTAGCACTTTACTGTACACTACTGATTTCCTATCAGGCTAGTGCAGGCTTTATAATACAGTCCTAGGTGTCCAAGAGCAAAGCCTTATTCTTGTTTTTTCTGAACAGTTACTAACATTTATTAATACCATAAATTCATGGATTATTGAATTTAACACTCACAACTACCACATGAAGAAGATGCTATTGACCTAGTTTACCAATAAGGGAGAAGAGGAGGGGTAGAGCAGTTGAGCAAATAAACCAAGGTTACTTGCATGGAATCCCTTAGAACTCTACACAATGATGCTTACTTAGTGGGTCCTCAGTTCTAATTAATTGACTTGCTTCACCAAAGACTAAAGCAAACATTAGTCTTAATGCTCTTTTATCCTTAGGTTCATTTTGTACACTGATAATGAGAGATCTCACGATCATAAGATGATACATAATCAATTTATTTACACTTATTTTGTTCTTTGTAGCTAATAAGATGTTTAATATATTTAATATATTGTTATCTTCAAAATGACCCTGTGGGATAGATGAACAAAAATTTTTGCCTCCATTTTCATGAGGCAACAACAAAAGAATAAGGGAGGTGCCCAAGGTTACTCAGGTCAGTCAGGGGTGGGAGTGCTGAAACCAGAATCCAGGTCTTGTAACTTTTAGGGCCAGTCTCTTACCTGGGTTTTTCTGAGCTCTAGTTGCTTTTGACATGTCACAATGATGCTGATAGTTTTCATGTGCTATTTTTTTCTTTTTCATTATGTCTTTTGATTATCTGCCATGAGGGTGATATAAAGTCTTTGTCTACAGAGCTAATGAACTGCTTTCCTATAAAACTATGTTGCAAACTTAAAGAAAATCAAGGATTAAAATATATTTTCTATTTCACCTGAATTTTACATATTTTTACAACTTCTAGATCCTCCTACTTTCCATAAAAATAAAAAAGGTGTGACAGGAAAAGAACTACTTCACTTTGACTCTCAAGACACATCTAAAAATAATTTTTTAAAACTACATGGCATTCCATTAAAAACAAAAGCATGGTGTTTTAATATTATTTTATGCTATGCACATATACCATAGTTATAAATGTATAAAAAGAAATAAGAGAAAAAAAAAGAAATGGGAATACCAATATTTATATTCAACACTTATGACTGGGGAACTTTTGCATGTGTTTAGAGAGAATTAATTAGCTCACCTTTAATACAATACAGTTGTCATCTGTCCGAATTGCTCCAGCTCTACACATGTAAGTTAAACTGGAATAAGACGGCAGAAAGTAAGTTTTTGCTTGTGTTTTAAAGCTTTAAAAGAAAAATTCCTTGCCTTTAGGATTTTATGGAAAAAAAAAGACAGCTCCTCTTATTTATCTTGAGGGAGAACGTTTTCATATTACCTTTGATGAGGTTCTGCCAATTTAATACTCAAAAACAACTGATATATACAACAATAATTCAGATATTTTTCAAAAATACATACAAAATTGTTTTAAAAATAAAGGCTTAATGAACAGATAAACTTTAAAGCTAGGTGCTGGGCACAATGGAGTTCCTTATAATTTTTTCTAAATTTTTCGTGTGAGAAAGTTTCCATAATAAAAAGGGGGGGGGAGTTAAAAATAAAATATAAAGTTCACATAGTGTCTAAGATTAAATCAAGCTAAGCTGAGATAGTCTAACTCCAATAGCAGTAGTACAAGTATCACAGAAAAAGCACTTAACTTTTAACTCTTAGCGGTAGCCATAAAAAATTAACTAATAACTCTTCAGAGTTCGCCAGCATAGGCTTTGACAATTGGTCAATGATTTGGTTCTACTGAAAAACAATTTGCCTTCACAATTATATCTGGCTTTGAATAAGAATAAAATTACTTGGTACTCCCTAAGCAGGTACTGAACACTTCAGAAACTTAATGAATTTCCTTTTTGGATTAGGGTCCTTTAGTAAACTGGGGGGGGGGGGGCGTTAAAACACTCCATAATCTGGCTTTTATAGAAACCTATTAAAAAAAAAAACAATAAAATTTTTACTTAGATTGTAGAGGATTGAATTGTTTATAGCTCTAATCATCTTAAGACTTGTTACATTTTTTTAAACCAGTTCCATGAGAGCATTTATCTTACTTAACAAAAAGGTTTTTGAAGACAAAAAGCAAACAAGCATACAAATAATATACTCAAAAAACAAACAAACAAAAACAATTCATTGTGCATGAGTAATTCACTGAAAATTTCTCATTCTCGCCTGAAATACTAAAAAGCCACAAATTCTTAAATACTGGAACAATTTAATTTAGCAAAGAACCTTATACAACAGGTGCTCAACCTATCTATTAAATGTATTCATAATTACAGAATTGACATGTATTGAATGCTTAAATGAGCTAGGACTTGTACTAATAAATTATCTTATAAACGGTCACATCTCTATAGAAATTTTATGTCTTGTTTTTCTAAAGATGAGGAAGCCATATTCTCTGAAATCATGCCTTGGTTATCAACTTCAACTAATTCTCACTCCATGATTTTCCTATCTTTATATTTTCTTAATTCTTAGCATAAATTTGTTAGTTAAATCTAATTCTATATTATTTCAACTGAAATACAAGGAGAGTACGTTGAGAATATAATAATTTTCTGTGATCGTCTTAGCTGTTATATGAGTGCTGCTGTTCTGCATGCTACTAGTAGTACACTGAGTAAAAAACTCATGCCCATTTAAGAAAATGTGAGACAACCCCATGACTTGCAAATTCCAAAATCCTAAAACAAGATGGGGATTGGAGGTGAGCTAATTAGGCTGTCCAAAAGTTCTCTAACGTATTGATAAAGCACTGCTGTTCTTCCCACATTGTCTTGACTTTTACCATTTTGCTGACGTCAGCTGCATCTCAATAGGCTTATCCCTCTGTAACATCTTCACAAAAATTTGTGGTAACAATTCTCCATCAACCAAAACTAGAAATAAAACAAACAACAAGAATTAAGGAACTCCTTAAATATACAAAGTTCATAAATTAAATCATGTAGGTGCCACTGAAAGTTCCAGCCTACCATTTACCAGGGTCATCGATACCTGGGGGTTTTCAAAAGCTAAAACTGAGAAGCATTTCAGTGCTTGCATTCGAACCTGTAACAATAAACAAAAAAATGCATTTATCTTGATTTTGCAAATATGAATTTTAATGTCTCAGATCTAAACTCTTCTGAAGAAACAACTGTTTAAATCTGCTTAAAATACTAAAAGAAGGCCTCAAGGGAATAAAAATAACACCTGAATATCTGGAGTACAGTAAGTTAAACTTAATTATAAAAAGTTAAAATTAATTTTGAAGTAACAGAAAAGAAAAAACAGGAAGTAGCAACTAAAATTTAATTAGATAAATTCCTAAGCAAATTTAAAAGAACAATGTACAAAATACAATGTTGGTAAATCAAAGAGAGCTTCATTAACACTTAATTACCAACTGCCTTTCAAGTGGGACATTTCTTCTTCCCAAACTACAAACCAGAGAACTGAAGAGAAGACAAAAAAAGTGGAGGGGAAAAAAAAGTGTACTCTTATAGTTGTGTGTGGGATGGGGTTGTGTCAAAGAGAACAGAAGGAAACAAAGTTACAATAAAAATCTGGAAAGGACTAAACTAACTTAACTTTTATTTTATTTTTTAAAGATTTATTTGAGAAAGAGGGCGCCTGGGTGGCTCAGTTGGTTAAGCGACTGCCTT